TTGAGACAGGGTCTCACTATGTAGTTGAGACTGACCTGGAACTCACTGTGTAGCCCAGGCTGGTCTCGAACTCACAGCGATCCTCCTGCCTCAGCCTCCCGAGTGCTGGGATTACAGGCATGCAGCACCGTGCCTGGCTCACTCACAGTCCTTTTTAACAGGGTCTTAACACAGAAGTCTGATCGGTGTGCTTGTTTTATCATCTCTAAATGGAAGGCACACTCAAGCCCACTTTGTCCCTGGGCCTTCATGACGGTCTCACCTGAGTCACTTTCAGCTTCTATGTTCCTAACCTATTCTCACTTCCTTGATTGTTTAGCATCTTTTAAGCCAAGTAACCACCCCCTCTTCTCCTTGAGTCTTCTCTCAGTTCCCAGGGCCACACATGTCTCTGGCTTCCTCCCACTGTACCAGCTGCCCCTTCTGCTCCATCACACAGGATTCTCCTCCACGTGATCTCAGGAGTGTGATTTCCTGTTCCTTCTTCAATGTGATCTCATGGCTTTCAACCCATCTCTCTGGATGACTGTGACCCTCTGCTCTCCAGCCTCTCAGGACCAAGTCCTCATCCGACATTGTCACTGGAGAATCTCACAGGATTCTTGCTACAGTTCCGATCTCAAGTGTCTCCCAAATGCCCACGGGAGAAAGGCTTGGTTGTCAGCCTGCAGAACTGTCCCAAGGTGGTGGGCCGTTTAGGGGCGGGGCTTAGTAGGAAGAAGAAGCGAGGTCACCGGGAACTTGTGGGAGGTACTTGGGCCCTGGTCTCCCCTCTCCCTCTCCCCGGTCTCAGTGCTTCCCAGCCACCACAAGATGTGTGGTTTTCTTCCACCATGTGCTCCCTGCCACGATGTTCTGCCCTACCACTAGCCTCAAAACAATGGAGCCAATCAAGCATGGACTGAAATATCGGACATCGTAGGCCAAAAAAGTGTTTCCTCCTCATACACTGATTATCTCAGGGAGTTTGTCACAGTGAGGGAAAGATGACTTCTTAAGTTGAAAATACCTGTGGCAGAATTTGTGTGTGTGTGTGCGTGTGTGTGTGTGTGTGTGTGTGTGCGCGTGCTTGCGTGCTGCTGGGATTTGAATCTAGGCCCTCATACATGCTAGGAAACACTCTTCCGCTGAGACACATCCCCAGCTTGGGTGGCAAGATGCTTGAGTTTTCACAAAGCTCCTTCCTTCCCTTGGGCCTCCTCACCAAACGTCTAGGCATTCAGCCCCACCCCGTTCCCCTTTCCACCAACTTATCAGCAAATTCCGGATTTTATCTCCTAAATATGTTTAGAAGGTGTTGTTAGTTAGCTTTTCACTACTGTAATGAAACACACGAGGCAGAATGTTTTATAAACACGTTGGTTTAGCTCAAAATTCTGGAGGCTGGAAATCCAGGTAGCCTTGCACAGGCTCTGGTGAAGGAGACCAGGGTGGCCTTATATCATGGTCTGTGTGGTCTCTGCCCTTCTCTTTGTAGAGCCACAAAGATCCAATCATGGGGACTCCACCCTAATGACCTAATTCTATCCAGTCACTTCCTAAAGGTCCCATTCTTGTTTTTTGTTTGTTTGTTTGTTTGTTTTGGTACCAGGGATCGAACTCGGGCCCCTGCTCTTGCACGGCAGGTGATAGAACCACTGAACCCAGCCCCTAAAGGTCCCATTCTAAACACTAGAGTTGGATTAATTTTCTAGCCTCTGAATGTCATTCGCACATGACTTTGGAGGTTAAACTCGTACATGAGCTCAGGGGGACAAACCATATTCAATCCGTAACAGAAGATACCACGTTGTCCCTTGGCCCCCGTAGGTCCTACCCCTGTTCCCCACTGTGCCCCAATGCCTTGGACTCACACTGGCATCCACACGGGCTCCCCCACCATTGTCCCCACAGCAGCCTGACAGATCTCTTAGAGAAAGAGTCAGATTATATCACCTCACTGATTCAAAGCTTCCAAAGCCTTCCCAATCCTATGGAGAGTAAAATCACTCTCCTCAGTGCGGCCAGCAAGCAATGACCTATTCCATTGCTGTGTCACCCCATGCCACTGTCCGCTTACTGGTTTATTATTCCTCACATCCTTGTCCCTGCTCTTTGCCATCTCTGTCCACTTTGCCTGGATGCTCGTCCCCTGGCTAGCCCCTGCCTGTTCCAGTGAAATGTCCCTCCTTTCCCTGTTTACCTTAGCAAAGTCGGTGTCTCCTCTGCCACCCCCGTTTATTTCCTTAACGGCGAGTTCTGTGCCTGGAGCCCCACATCTCTTTGCTTACGCGCACTTTGTCTGGCTCCCTCAGTGGGTGCGAGCCCCAGGGCTGTCTTCCTGTCTCATTTCCAGGGCCCACAGGGTCGCAGGACGACTTTGTTGACCAAACAAACAGATGAACCGATGGACAATTGTGATGCCCAAACCATCTCATTGATCACAGCAGTCCTAGGAGGTCGTCACTCTGGACTACGTTTCCCAACCTCCCTTGTGCACTGACTGGCTTTTTGGCCACTGGACACAATATTTGACCCCGTAATTTAGAGAAGGAGAGGGTCAGTGTGGCTCCCGGTCTCAGCCCACGGACAGCAGGTTCCAAGGCAGAAACTTCATGGTGAAGGGTGAGAGAGGGCAAACCTGCTCGTGGATGGCAGCGGGGAATCAGGGCATGGGAGCAGCACCAAAGAGGAAGGGGTCAGGGACAACATGCAGTACCCAAGGTCGCACCCCAGGCTCCTCCTGATAACCCAAGTGTGCTTTACTGATCCCGCTGACACAGCTGAGCTTAACCACACTACGTCACACTCAGCTGTGCCGTGGCACACGCGGGCAGAAGGGAAGGAGGCCCCTTCCGGCTGCGGCCTGTCAAACCCTGCGTGTGGTCCCCATTCCCCTGCTTTGTCTGCCAGCGGGATGCAGAGGATCCAGCAGTGGATTCTGAGGCCCTGGGTGGCAACAGAGTCCCAGGGTTTGAGGATCCCGGGTCCCTGAGAGACTTCATGGAGGAGAGCCCCCAGCCCCCCTGGCCTTGTATGAGTGGACAGAGCGTCTACTGTGTTGGGCCATTGTGACTTCCAGGCTTCCTGTCACAGCCTCTCGCCTCACCTTAATTAGCACATCAAACCACCACATGTGGGTGGTGGGCGAACAAGCTGACATATTTTTGTCAGATGCAGGTGTGTTCTCTGTGGGGCAACAACAGAAGCTGAGGGTGCGTGGCTTCCACTTCGGGGGAGGCCGTGTGCCTGGCTCCCCGGTCCCCACTTGCCTGTGAGCCTCTGAGCACAGCATCTGGTCCTAGGAGGCCTGGGGGAATACGTGGGCTCCCCGTGAATGAGTGGCCACCCGCTCCCTCACCTCTTCTCTGTCCCTAAAGTGCTTGGGGAAGCCCAACTTGAGTCTTACTGAGGCCCAGAGAGACGGAATGACTTCCTCCGGGTCACACAGAAACAGGGTGTGGCAGAAAAAGTCTGCTGGATGCGGCAGCTGGCAGCTGGCAGGGCTGACAAGAGGCTGGAGAGGTGGGCAGGGCCTACGGGGGCAGCCACCGTTTCTTCCCCTCACCCGCCTCAGTGGCCCAGGCACAGAGAGGAAGTCCACAGCCTTTCCACCACCCTCCCAGTGTGCTGCCTGCCTCCTGCAGCCCGGATCCACAGCCTCAGTATTTTTAGCTTCACCACCTGGCACCTGTGGTCACTGTCTCTGCCCAGCCTGGCAGCATCCCCACCCTCGGCCTTAAAGGGGCAGAGTCCACTGCTAGAAAGGAGACCAGCTCCTGTAAACTTGGGGGACCGGCGCAGCGGGGTAAGAGGTGCGGTGGGGAGGAGGGGAAGGAGGCCCTAGTCCTGCGCCAGGTCCGCTCCGGGGCTCGCTGAGTTGCTGTCTGGGGGACCTGACTGATAGGAACCATCTGCCCGGTAAACCTGACGCCAACAACTCCGAGACGGGGCCTGCCGCGTGTGTGGACCGTCAGCTCGAGGCGCCTAGCACCCCATCCCGGATCACATTCACTCACCCACTCACTCAGGCCGCTCAGCTCCCACGATGGAAGCGACGGTTCGGTTCCCTCCCGAGAGGCTGGCTCTGCATCCCAGGTTCTGCTAACTTCCCAGCCTCCCGAGCCACCCTGTGTGGCCCCCAGCCCTCCCCACACCTACTCCGTGGCCTGTGGACCAAGCCCGGGGCTCACCAGTCAAGGCCACTGTGACGGTGACCCTGCTCCCTGCTGTCCTCACCGCCACTGCCCCACCCGGTTCCTTCTGCATAACTGGAGTCTTCACTCTCTCTTGCTGTCCTGCTGCTGGTGATGCCTTGTCTTCCCTTTCTTTCCTTTCCTTTTGCTTTTTGTGGAGCTGGTTATTCAACCCAGGGCCTTCAACGTGCTATGCAAGTGCTCTGCCACCAAGGCACATCCCCAGCTGCTTTTAGAATTGTGCTTTGAGACAGGGTTTTACTAATTTACCCGAGCTGGGCAAATCCGTGATCCTCCTGCCTCAGCCTCCTGAGTAGCGAGGACGGCAGGTGTGTGCCACCGTGCCTGACACAGTGAGGCACTGCAGGCAGCTGGGCCTGGAGGAGGGTGGCCAGCAGATGGGAATTCTAGAGGGAGATTCACTGGAGGCGAATAGCAGGGAGGAGGGCGCCCTGGGTGAGCCTCTGTACTTCCAGAGGGGTCTCCAGCTCCTGCAGGCAGAGCTGGCCGCCCTCTTCCCGACGCCTGGGGCTAGGGGTCCACTCCCACCACTTTGTGCCAGGTCACCCAGCTCCCACTCTGTCTCCGACCCAGGCTGTGTGGTAAAGTGACAGCTCCGGCAGGCACAGCCTCCCATTTCACAGAGGAGGAGATGGAGGCCCCAGCGGCAGAGCCACGCCCTCCTGCCCCTCCTCCAGGCAGTGCTGACTCAGGGGTGAGGGAGGCGTGGGCGGCGGCTGTGGCAGAGGTGACCCGGTCACAGCCTGGGCAATGCCCGGCCTTCCCTGCAGGAGGTGGGGGTGGGAAGAGCTGGCAAAGGGGTCAGAGCGTGGGGCGGGAGCCCCACCAGCCTGTGCCCACACAGGTGCTCACATCGGCCTCCGCACACCTGTGCACACTCGCACGCGCTCACCCCCACACACCACGCACAGTCAGGGAGGAAGGCCTCCTGGAGGAGGGGCTGCAGGAGCAGTCGGGCCTGGGCACCGAAGCCAGGAAGAGAGGTCTGGAGTCTCAGAGTGACGGGGGGTCCCTGGGGAGCCAGGGCGGGTGACGGCGGGTGAGCAGGGAGGAGCAGCTGGTTGGTGAGTGTCGGACTCCTAGGTGTCCACAGGCGGCCCGCCGGCCCACGGCCCTGGCCTTCGAGCTGTGCCCACCCGCCCACTGTCCACCCGGCACTGACCTCCGCAGCGGGACCTCTCCCAGCGGCTCCTCCTCCTCCTCCTCCCTGTGGAAGCAGACCAAGCAGAAGGCTGGCACATCGTCGGCTCCACAGCCCAGGGGCCAGGCTGGAGGCAGCTCTAGGACAGGGCAGGGGCGGCCGGGCACGACCTCGGCAGCCTCATCCGGGGCCAGGGCAGGGGTCCCCGAGCCAGCGTGCGCCAGGATCAGCAGCCTGTCCGCCTCGGGGCCCCGCGCCCGCGCCCCCGCCGCCTGCGCCTTCTCCCTCAGGTTGCCCGTCGTCCCGGTGGGCGGGAGAGCCGGTGGCTCTGTCTCCCAGGGCTCCTGTCCTGGCCTGGAGGTGGCAGGCAGGACACAGAGGTCCCTCCTCTGTCCAGGTGGCCTCAGCCCCTCCGCGGCTGCTGTTCCTCGGAGGCGTGGCTGGGAGGACAGGCCCACGGACGACCTGTCCCTCTGTCCATGTGTCTGACCAGGAGCTGTCCCCCCGACGGCCGGCAGGCACTGGGGGCTCCCCTAAGAAAGTTTGCTCTGCTCTCAGGGGTGGTGGCGCAGTAGCCTCCGAGAGTGGGCTGAGACCTGGAGCTGAAGGTTGGGCCGGCCGGGCGGGGCTCCCCTTGTCCTGCTGTCCCCGGGAAAAGTTCTGGCCCTGGAGCGGGCCTGGAGGCTGCTTCGCTCCCGGCGCTCCTGCTCCTCCGCTCCGTGGCGTGGCGGCCAGCGGCGGGGCTGTGGGTATTAATAGCTCCACATTCACGCGGAGCAGCCTGGAGCTTAACTCCTTCCCTGCTAGGGCGGAGAGGCCCGCGGGCGGGGCCGGGCTGGCCGCAGGAGGCGGGCAAGGGCAGCGCCTGTCCGGGTCTGCACAGCGCCGGCCTCCCAGTGCGCGGCCGGACGGGTCGGCGCCAGGGAGCAGCCCGGTGTCCCTGTGCGGCTCGGGCTCCTCCAGGCAGGTGCAACCCCAGAGCGCCGGCCCTCGCCTCCCCTGCTGTTTACAACGTGCCCTACCACTCCCGGCCGCCCCGGGCTTCCAGGGAACAAAGGAAAACGTACATTCAGATCATGAAAAGTGCTGGGAAGAAATAAAACAGGAAGATGTGAGGGGCCGACAGGCAGGTTGTTCGGGAGAGCGCACAGGAGGGACGGCGGGAGCCGACCTGTGCGAGAGGAGCCCAAGGGGAGAGCTGCAGAGAGAGCTGCAGGCTGGGGCAGAGCGGAGCTTGCGGCCCGAGAGGGGTTCAGCGCGTCCGGTACTGCCTGATGGACCAAGCGAGGGGACAGGACAGGCGCGGCTCCCTAGAGAGGCTGGAGTGTCCCCGTGGTGGGACACGCCCGGGCTCTGGAGGGAGATGTGGTGGGAGGAAGCTGAGGGGCGCGGAGGGTCCATCTGTGCAGGCTGAGCTGAGTGCCACAGCTGGAAGAACAGACTCGGGCCTCTTCTGAAGAGAAGGGGAGGGTGTGGGAGCCGAGCCGCCCTATACGGTTGCTCAGGCTGTTCAAAGTGCACAGGGTCATGCTGGGACAGTGGATGGGGTCTGGGACCCAGCAGCATCAGGGAGTCTCACACTGGGGCAGCATGGGAGGTTGCCTTTTTCTAATTGGTCCCATTAGCAATTCTTTGAACTGCAACACCCAAAAGGGGTGCTCATCTTCTGCCTGGTTCGAAGGGGCCCCCAGGCAGGTGTTGGGGAGATGACTCTGGGGCTTGAATTCTAAGGAGGCTTCTGCTGCAGACTTGCTACATGGCTTTGGAACAGTCTCTGTACTCTCCAGACCAGTGGGTGTATGGACTTAGCGAGAGGCCAGCTGGCCCGGTCCCTGCCAGACGTGGACAGGAGGCCGCAATCATGGCTGAAAGCTGACTGTCAACCCAGTGCTCCAGTGTGCTGTGGGTCCTGCTGTGTGACTTGAGCTGGTGTCCTTGGGAGGACAGTGAGCGGGGACAAGAGGAAGGCAGGAAGGTGGAGAGGGAAACGGAGTTGTGGTTCCCTGGGGGGGGGTCAGGAGGGGTCAGGATGGCCTGGCCTCTAGGCGCCCCTTCCTCCCTCCTTGTCCCACAGGGTTGTCATTTGTGGGTGTTAATTATTCATGAGCCTGAGCTTTGCCTGGTTTTAATGCACTCTGATGGCTTCTCTAGCTAATGGGGAAAATCAATAGGTTTTAATTCGGAGTGGCTGTGAAGCTTCATCTGTCTCCTGTTTGGGTGGCTGGGCCTGGCTCCTGACTGGGGTGGGGTGGAGGCTTTGACTCGGTGGAGAGAGCCTGAGACTGTACCTTCCCTCTCCTGCCCTCACCTGATTCTGCCTCCAGCCCAGGGAGGAGGAGTCACCAAGAAGCTCCAGACTCTGCCCTAAACATCCTGGAGGATCTGAGCCTTTAGACCTCAGTCATCTGTCGCCCCTTTAAGCGTGTTGGCAAGCCTGATGTGATGATACACACTTGTAATCCCAGCACTCTGGGAAACTGGAATCACAAGTTCAAGCCCAAATTGGGCAAATTAGTGACCTAGTAAGTCCCTGTCTTTAAAAAAAAAAGTGAATTCTCTTTGTTGCAAGCAAACATCTAAATTAATTTCTCCGCCTACTTTCTTTAGAAAGAAAAAGGAATCGGCAGGGTAAGGAGACACTGTTCAAGAACTGACATGATTTAAAATTAAGATATAAATGGGTGATTCATAAGTTCATTAGCTTGCAAAGATGGTGGAGTTAGCTACTACAAGCACACGAGTTATACAGTATTTTATGGGAGAAGGATGTACAAATATATTAAAGTTCATATAGATCCCATTAGACAACTGGATTTACAACAAGAGAACCTGTCTTAAAATAATATCTGGGAACGTGGCTTGCAGGGAACAGGAAAGGGGTTGTTGCCAGAACCCCTGCAGTGGGCCCCGCTCTCCTGTGAGCCACTACAGCACAAGGAAAATTAAAGAATAATGACAGAAAATGAGACTTAGAGAAGAACCTGAGTTCTAGGCCTGATCTGTGCTGCTCTGGATGGCCAAGACAAAGGGCCCTGAGCTTTTCACTATTTATTGGGTTCATAGGGAGTGACAGATGACTCAAAGGGTGGAAATAATCCAAAATTCCCAAGGATTTTATAATCAGAGGGCATATCAGGTATCTCGGAGGGTGGCAGTAATCCCATGACCATGAGGATTTTATGCTGATGCGGATCCCAGGCCACTGAGAAGCTTATGTTGATTAGGATGTGAGATGAGCAGAGATGTCTTACAACGAACGTAGGTAGGAAGAATTAAGCCAATAAGGAATTCGTCCCTCCCCAGGTGAAACCTTTCTCTTACTACTCAGTTCTCAAGGAACCAGGATGTGCTCAGCTGATGAATCACATTACAGGACTGCTGAGGCCTCAGACAGCCCTAATCATAATTTAATTGTGAAATAATTTCCCCCCACAATTGTGTAGAATGGCTCCTGACAGCTCACTGCAAAGGCCCTGGGCTCAACCCCCCCACAAGATTGGTGACTCCTCCTGGCCCTGGGCCGGACACTGGGCTGGACACTGAGGGCAGCCCACCAGCTTTCAGGAGCTGGAGCCAGGCCTGTGGCCCCTGGCCCTGGGGCTTTGGGACCTGGGAGTCCACCTACCCTAACCACCAGGCAGGGTCAGCCCTGGTAAAGCTTAGGAGGTGTGGAGGAATCTGGCCAGACCCCACATCCCTGAAGCACCTCAAGTGTGGACTTGCACGCCATGTTACTTCGCGGGCAGTGACACATTCAGGAGTGACAATTTCTCTGAGCTGTTCAGCAGCCAGCGTCACAGGCCCCTCCCATCTCAACCTGCATCCTCTCCCAAGTCGGTGGCCTTTATGATTCCTGTAATTATCTCCAAAAAAAGCCTGTATATACTGTACTGTGTGTGTGTGTGTGTGTGTGTGTGTGTGTGTTAAAGCATTAATTAGGCAGACATGAACATTAACGATGCACAGCAGTCTGGATAATGATATTTCTCAGTGTTTCCAAAACATAATAGTTTCAGAAAAAGGAAGGAAGCCTGATATGTCAGCACCAGCAAGGCCCTGGCCGTTTCCTGATGGAGCAAGGCCTTTCCCTCTGGAGGGGATCTCTGCTGGGGCCTTGGCCTAGTGCCACGGTCCCAGGAGTCCAGGCCTGGACCTGGAAGATGGTGACTGCCAGGCCTCACCTGCCCTGCCTAGCCCAATCAGGCCCAATCAGGCCCAACCAGGCCCAGGCCCAAACTAAGAAAGAAGCTTTCGTTTTGTCCTAGAGATTGAATGCAGGTTCTTTGCACTGAGCTACACCCCAACCATTTTTATTTCTTAGAAACAGGGCCTCATCAAGTTACTACATTGTCTGGCCTGAACTGGTTTTGTTTTTATTTTTATTTTGTTGTTGTTGTTTTGAGACAGGGCCTTCCTATGTAGTTCAGGCTGGCCTTGAAGTTGTGATGATTCTCCTGCCTCAACCTCCCAAGTTCCGGAATTACAGGCCCGCACCATGCCCAGCCTTGTTCGTAATAATGGTTTACATTTCTTCTTTATTTAATCCTTGAAGCTGGCTGTATTGCAGGTTTTTTATGGATGAAATATGGAAATGAGCAGATTATTTTCTACAAAATTATGGTATTAACTTGCTCAGTTTTCTGTCATATTGCTAATAAACCTTACAGGCACACAGTTTGTAAACATAGCCTCCTTAAGGACTGGCTATGTACAGCATGCTGCAGGTACGAGTGGCAACTAAATATGAGCATTTACATCTGGACCACACAGCACGGAAAGCTGGCCAACATCTATCACAACACAGGGAAAAATTAATAAAAGGAGATCCAGTTCAGTCCTGAAAAGGTTAAATAAAACCCTAATGCATTACTGTTTCCATTGCCCAGTACAGTGCTAGAAAATAAGGTCAAAAGTCTGGCAGAAAATTGCACGCGTTTGTTCAGTGTTCATCAGACATGCAGCTGCCTCCCGCCTCAGCCTCCCGAGTGCTGGGATCACGGGTGTGCACCACCATGTCCAGCAATTCGGGGTGCGGGCTTCACAGTAGGGAGACCTGGCTCCTTCACGCCTCTGGACTTCTCTCTTAGCCTCAGGCGCTGAGTCGGACTTAGCTCTCTGTCATCCATGGTATCGTAGCTCCTGGTCCACACAGCACCCCCCCTCCGTCTTTATTCGTATCTTGATTCCCCTTTTCCCTCATGGATGCTGGGCAGGCAAAGCTGACTGAATTTCCCTCAAATTATGAGCCAGAGCCTGGGAAAGGCTTAGGATGGTACAGAGTACATGGCACCTGAGCAGGCAGGGAGGTCACACCTTCCCTTTGGACGTGCCCGAGTGTGGCGGGGATTCTTCAAAATCTTCCGCCGAAGACCTGAGCGGGTTCCTGGGATAGAATCGAACTTGTCTAGTCAGCCTGGGGGGCAGTAACCATGTTCCCTCTTTTGCCCTCCCCTCCCCCTTTTCTTCCTCCTCCTCCTCCTCCCTTTTTTGAAGCTAGGAACTGAGCCCAGGGCCTCATACCTGCTAGGAAAGTGCAACATCACTGAGCCACACTCGCCAGCCCTTAGCCCAGACCCGGATCACACTCAGTGGTGGCTGGCTGCACCCCAGGCCAGGCGGTACATGTGGTGTGCAGGCCGGCCTGGAGGACAGAGGGTTCCACCTATAGGAATTTGCTGCCCAATGAGGAGAGATGGGAGATGGCATTTCTTTTTCTATTAATTGGGGTGCAGCTCAGTTGCTATAATAAAGAGGCCCTGCTTGACAGTGACCCAAATAAGTCTCCTAACAAATTAATCAGGAACATATGGCAAAGTTTTATTTCAGGTTTTCCATGAAAGGAGAAGCTTCTGGCCCAGACACTTCAAAGAGCTTTTTCCCTTTGATAGCAAAGAGAATGGTTAGATATTTCTTATTTTACCAGGCACAAGAAGGAAAAAAAGAAAGTCTGATCACAGATTGTTAGAGCTTTTACTAACTGGCAGCTAAGTGGATGGGAAGTTAATTTGCTACAAGACATTTTTTTTTTTTTTTTAGTACTAGGAATCACACTCAGGACCTTGCACTTGCAAGGCAGGTGGTGGCACCACTGAGCTACATCCCCACCCTCTTTTGTTTTTTTGGTTTTTTTGAAACAGGGTCTCACTGTGTAGTTGAGACTGACCTGGAACTCACTATGAAGTCCAGGCTGGTGTCGAACTCACAGCAATCCTCCTGCCTCAGCCTCCTGAGTGCTGGGATTATAGGCATGTGCCACCAGGCCCAGCTCCACCCACCCCCCTTTTTGAGACAGGGTCTCACTATGCAGTTCAGGCTGGCTCTGAACTCACTACGTAGCCCAGGCCGGCCTCAAACTCACAGTGATCCTTCTTCCTCAGCCTCCTGAGTGCTGGGAGCACACCACCACATCCAGTGCTACAAGAAGTCTTAATTTAAAGTTGATCAGAGTTGGACGTGGTGGTTGCACGCTTATATACAGCCCTAGCACTCTGGGAGACTGAGGCAGGAAGATCAAAAGTTCAAGCCCGGG